TCCAATGCCCTAGAAAGACGAGGGGGGGATTCAAGATCAGCACAATCAGCCATTTGGGTACCCAAGCGGGGCCCCTTAGTTGTGTACTCTCCTCAGGTGGCTAGGTCGCGCACAACAACTTTTTAGCATCACTTTAGCTGATCCGTAGTGGTGGAGGGGAATGCTGCGTGCACGCCTCCCGCCTGGGGGTGTCGCTCAGATTCGTTTGTACGGATTGTCATCACAAGAGTTGTATCAGCGCACAGTGCTCTGATTGGGTCCGTTCTAAACATCTCATCGCTATACACACCGGAGGAGGGGGGAGGGTAGGGCTTGCGCGCACTGCCCCGCTTGTCATTTGAATAAGTATGTTTTAAATAGGAAGAAGAAGAAACAAGTGAAGTCGTGTTTCCTGAAATCATACCGAGTTATGGCGCTGAATCCTCGCAGCGCTAACAAAAGCGTCTTTGCACTCTGTTTTGGTGAGCGGAGCCCAAGTGCACAAATTTTCTTATTATTCGTTGAGCAGTTATACACATTCAAATAATACTTGCACGCTTCATATGCGTCGTTCTGCTCGTCGCTAAGAAATGCACCTCACCACTTCACGAATCACCGACGTGGGTGGAAATTTCCTCCCTTCTGGGGGAGAACACAAAAGACATTATTTGCATGGCTTCTCTGCCATATTCATACTTTTCCTAGATATTTCTTCCTCTTCGAGCAGAAAATGACAAAGGGAGAAGCGAATAAACTTTGACAAACGCATAAGTTGAAAGTCGATATGCACCTATTTCCCGCTTTTACGCTCCAGTATTCACAGCAACGTTAATGCTACGGCCCAAGTGATCTATTTAATTATCTTGATGTGGGTCAGAGTAACCTGAAAGAGAGAGCAAAGTTGATTCCCATTGTTTTTCTTCCGATAGGTCGACCAGTGAATCCACGCTATAGCTCGTTGGTTGGCTTAATCGCTGCACCATGGCGTTTAGTATCATTGCAGCCGTTTCATGTATTAAGGGTGTCCTAACTGAAAGCCCACGTATTTCAATCTGTTTTTCAAGAGAGGTAGCCCTTTCCCCAGGCATCTCACACATAACGATGCGGTCGAAGTGGTCCAACTGAGGGCAGACGTTGAAGCCAACACCATGCATTGACACCCAGCTTCCCAGTTGCAGACCAATTGAGCCTAACTTTTTATGAGGTTGGTTTTGGTAAGCATCAGACCAGATGCCCGTTTTATAGGCATGGGTGGGAATGCCGTAGTGGGCCGCTGTGTCCATCATCGCACACTCCAGAACGTGACTAAACCACTCAATGGGCGAGCGAACCTTCTCTGCGGTGCACTTCTTCCACAACATCTGAATGTTGGCAATTGGATAGGCGGTCAGTTGGCCGGGGCCATGGTATGTGATGCCGCCCCCCCTTCGGGTCTTCACCACCGTAATGTTGCATGGCTGAGGAAGGCCGCTGACTGTGTCGCGGCGCCCGATGGTATAGACGGGATCAACATGCTCTACCATGATTGTGACATCTGGCAGCAGAGGAAGTGATACCTCATTACGTTGGACGGAAATCTGACGCTTGATCTTTTGGTTAAAAATAACCTCTTGTAAAGCTAGTGTTTGCTTGTAGTCACGCTTTCCAACAAAAAAAGTTTTCATAATCTCTCAAGCTGATGAGCCACGATTTCAAAAAAAAAATCATGAAAAGGAAAAGACAAGAGGTTAAATTCTAGTAAATGGCCAAACAGCTTACCTTCACACACTGACCAAAACACATCCATGGATTCACATAGCCCAGACTTTGTCCGCTCTTTAACACTGGTATCACTTACATATTGATAGTGTAAAAGAAAAGGATTTATTCAATTTACATAAAAAATGAACGTCTTTTTGCGGCATCTGATGTTATTCAGCGTTGTCTTCCATGCCCACGGGGCTCCTGTTGCTAAGCTTCTTGTCTAGTTTATTTTCATCCTGTATAAGTCGCTCAACATATGTGTTCGAAAAGTTCACGTACTCTTCTTCAAAGAGAAACTCCACAAATTGAGCTGTAAGTAGAGTCTCAGTTTTATCTATGATTTGGAGATTTGCAAACCACTGACTAAGGACGACCGTGTAATCAGACTCATCGGTTGACGCAAGTTCGATAACATTCGGGAGCCCTACAATTTTCATCGATATGGAATCCTCGGAAAGGTTACTTGTTTGAAGTGGAGTAAGTGCCGGCAGTGGGACCTCATTGCCCACAACGAACTTACTTAATCGATCTGCTAACGGAGGGGGTGGTATATAAAAAAATGCTTCATCCGGGAAGACTTCAGATGTACACAGGCAGAGCGCACTGAACCCCAGTGGTCCATGCGTCTCCAGGAGCGTCCCCTTAGCAAGCTCCGCCACCGGTTCCGCGGGCTCTGGGAACAGGCCCACGAGTTCCTCAGGGTGGCTTGTCATAAGAATTAGCGAAAGCTTCCCATAGGATGGGCTTTCGGAACCGACTTTTTGGTGCGCTGCCAGACACATCATACTGATCTGCACATCATTTAGCCCACTCTCTTGTAGGTACTCTGCAAGCGTAGGAAGTTTATCGGCGTTTAAAATAAGGTTATGAGCCCTTTCCGCGGCTTCCTCGCACGTGATTTCTAATGGCGCCGTGCTAGGGGGAGGGTAGTGCAGAGGCAGATCGGCGATCTTATTCCACACGCTCAATTCATCTTCGGTTACAGTGATCCAGCGGTCTATGAAAATCTGGTTCATCTTGCCAGGATTTTGTGACGCGTCTGTTATAGCCACGGAGCCCTCTGATGTCATTTCCTTGCGCATTCCGCTGTCTTCCAGCTGGACCGCGTCTCCGGACATGTAGGCACCACTACCTCTAGGATCCGCTTGCGATTCTGCCTCTCTAACAGTGTTGTCGGTGGGCACGCAGCCTTCCTCGACTGTGACGCCCGATGAAGAAATTTGGGCCTCTTGAGGTGGTACTTCCGCCTCTCCAATTTCATCTGTTCTCTCTGTTCCGCCGTCTTCCCCTTTTTCCACTTCCTCGATTGTTTGTGACGGCTGCTCGCGCTCGTTCTCTTTCTCACCTGTGACGCCTGATGAAGAAATTTGGGCCTCTTGAGGTGGTACTTCCGCCTCTCCAATTTCATCTGTTCTCTCTGTTCCGCCGTCTTCCCCCTTTTCCACCTTACCTGAATGAGACAATTCCACTGGGTTCTCACTGGCTGAATCATCGACGGCCTTGACATCTGTTCCCTCATCAACAGCTTCATTATCGGGGGCGTTGACGATTTTGTCCAGTTGTTCCGACAGTGTCATGTTATCCTTGAGCCAGGCTTGCAGCCCAGTAGCGGTGCAAACCCCATTCTCCGCTCCGACAGCATTCTTGAGGACAAGGATTTTCTGTGGTGTGAGCGTCAAATTTAGAGCCTTTTCCACAGCCTCAATAAAGCTTGCAAAAGGTATATTCGTTTTCGTTACTTGAAAATGCTCTTTCCAGAATTTGAGCCCATCGGGGTTCGTGAGGCACTGGGTAATGGGGTCCGGTTTACAGAGATCGCCTATCAGTTTACAAATATTTGGCGTGTCCACGCCTTCGATCTGACCTCGCATCCTGCCTTCTTTATAGAGGATGAAGCAGGGCTTGGAGTGCCCACAGCGTCTTTTAAGAATAGGTCCCCAAAAGGAGCTTTTGGTATCCTCATAGTACTCCACAGTCTTGTGAGAAGTTTTTTTTTTAACCACTACAGCGTCATCCAAGTTCTTCATAATGCTATCACACTCCACGGAAAAAAATCGAATGTCAATCTCATTTCCGAAGTCGGTGTAAAGCCGTTTAAACGTTTCTCCAAGAGCCCTGCAAGAGCCCCACTCCGTGTTGTAGATGTCGAGAACAACGACACCTTGCGCTTCTTGACAACGCTGAAGCTGAAACTCTAGCTGAGTGCCGTCGGTGATGTTTTGCACCACCTCCTTCAAATGACCGAGCTGCATCCAACTTTGATTTTATGAGGAGAAATATATTCAACGTTCACTTAAATTGGAAGAAAAATAACGCAGAAAGTCAAATAATATTATATGCGTGTATCAAAAGACTCATTTAACAAGCGATCAAGGGAAGACACGGATAGCCCCGTGTGCACATACGGGAGGAAAAAGAAGAATCCACGTGAACCCGAATAATGCATAAATATCTAACCAGACACACACATTGTACTAATGGGAAACACTTAACGGTAACCGACTGAGATCGACCTAAGAGGCCAGCGTAAGACTCCAAAATCGTTCACGTTTGGCATACTTGATTAATAAAAAAAGTGTAAAAACTATAAGAAACACAGCTGGAAAGATCTGTAGTTTTGTATGATGTTATCCTATCATCAAATGGTGGCCTCGGGGTTAAAAAGGTAGAAACGTATAATGGGAAGCTGTTCTTCAAAGGAAGTGGCAGCGCGATATGATAGTGTATTGCCGCATATAATGCGACCGTCGACTGAGCTGACCACAACGCCCCCCCACGCATCTTCGGTGTTGAGATATTTGTTACTGATTTGAAGAGAAATAGACGACCCGGTCTTGGTTTGATACCAGCTCACCAAATCACTTAGCATTTGATGGATTTCAACCTCATCTTCCTTGCGACACTGAATAACGGCGTCTGTCTGAATAGCAAGTATCGACTGGCGAACAAGATTGACAAGCAGAGGTCTGTAGGTGCTAGGATTGGCCACGATTGCTTCTATCTTCTTTCGAGTTTCATTGTAAAGTACTTCCATAATTTTAGCTCGCTCTTCCATTACCCGCATACGCTGCATTTTAGTATCGTTTGCTCGAGCCACTCGGCGGTCTACATCAACTTGTTTTTTTTTCTTCTCAAGATTTTGGCGTATTTTCAACTTTTCCCCCTCTACCAACCGCATTTTTTCGATATCGTATTCCTCTTGCGCCGCGCATTCCAATTCGTCAACTTTTTCTTGAGCCTCACGGTCGATGAATTCGATCATCGACTGAATTTGTCTGAATTCATTCATGTGCTTCGAAGATTAGCCTGCGTAAGCGTACGGATGTCTTGTTGATTTATATCTTCAAGCTAAATGTTTTAAAATTAAAACTGACTTAAGACTAAAAATAAACCCGTTTTGCTGTCCCTTTTGATAAGCTTAGTAGCTTACATGTTATTCACTCAATGCGAATTTCATTTTTTTTTTCCAATCCATATGTCAATCTGCTTATCCACACAGAAATGGGACTTATTAATGCCGTTTCTTAAGGATAGGACTAGAGGAAATTTCACTTATTTTCAGTAGCAAGATTATAATGCCGATAACATACCCACAAAAGCATAAAGCAAAGCGGTACGTTGACTGGAATAACGTGCGCTCTCCACAGCTTGTATCGTCTACAATGCTCAGTTACTAGCATAGCGTAGAGAGACCAACCAGCAAATACAACCAGGATGCTTGCTGAGGGAATAACTACGAAAGGAGAGGCTGCTGCAGCGCTAACAACCCCGAAGATAAGCAAGTAGTTTTTAAAGGTAGTAAACCAGTGAATTCCCTCACCACACGAAAAGAGTACGTAAAAGCACATACACCAACTGGCAACACCATAGATCCAGAATAGCACACTTAGTAGGGCTAGCATTTTGTTAAGAGTTTACGTTTGGGCAGAGATTTCCTTATCAGAGTACTGCGATATTTGATTAAGAAAACAAAGGATGAGAGAGGGAAGATTAATAGTTTAATAATACCATTATTCCATCGTATCATATCCATTTTTTAAATTATATGCATCTCCCTTAACAAATTCAGAATCGTTCAGTGCCAACACCTTAAAGGACGTTGTATTCCTTTCGTTGAATCTCATCCTGCACCTGCCAAGATGAATAGAGACGCTTTATCATATACTTCCCAGTGTGTCTTTATTTTTTTGCTTCTGAAGTGATGAGTAAAACCAAGGAGGTATGATGAATTCTTGTAGAGCTTTATATGAGCAGCACCTACAAAAGGAAAGCAAAATGATAGATGAATGCGCCAACCCGTAAGAAGCCGCAATCCTTCAGTCGAAGCAATGAGACACCTTGATCTTTAATTGCCCGATTGAATAAGGTTTTCTACTTGTTTGAAGCATTCAGTTTCTATAAAACTTACAGTTTGGCTTTTTTTCGAATTCTTATAGTTATCCAGAAGAGCCTTTCGTTGCTTTGGTGCACTCCTCCAAATTTTTCGGAGTGTTTCCAGAGCCTCCTTGCGCGTTGGCTCGGAGGGGAGCGTCGTTCGGACGCCATGACCAGCGTACACCTGGGGCCTTTCAGAAGCATTGGATATCATCGTCAAAGACGGCATGTTCGTGGCAACGCTAGTTGATGGAAAAGATAACTTTGGGAGCGGTCGTCTTGCGCTGAAGGCATGCATACATGTAGGGCCAACATGTAGTGATTCAGCTTGCGTTTGTTTAATAATTTCCTCAATTTCGTCCCCTTCTGAATCTACCTTTTGCTGAGATACAATTACTTGCTTTGGTAGAGCACGCTCTGATGAAGCATTGATGATGGATGCGCTTGTGGTAGGTGGTGAAGTGTTTTCTCCAATTGTCGTTCCCTCAGCTTCTTGCATTACTTTTTCAACTTGTTCATCTAAAAAGGTGCGTGAGAAGCAAAAGTACTTTCGAACGACATCCTCCCAAAAGCCTTTCCGTGTTTCCCCGTCCACAACATGCTTCTCAAAGATGGCGGCTAGAACCGGAATCTGCCTAAACACATCGTTCTGCATCTGCTCAGTGATGGGTTTCAGGCGAAAGGTGTTGCGGTCCACTAAACTTTCAAGCGCATCGAATGTTTGCACCACACCTCGATGTGATTCTTCGCGCAGGATTTCCTGCAACTCAGCCTCATTCAGTATGCCCACTTCAACCGCTACTTCGCAAAGGGTAGAGGTGATCCAGTCGTGATGTACCTCTTCAACATGATTTTTAGAAGCCTGCGCCTTCACCACACCATCAACAAACTCCCTTCGCATTGCACCGTTGTCGAATCGAATCAAGTATGTTCGATCCGCGGCGACCAATTTAGCAGCCTTTTCATCCTTACGTGAACAAAGAAGCTGTGTGACTTCACTGGCAGCGAAGCGCACTAGGTTATTTTCAGTTGAATGGGTTGGTTTGAATGTTATCAGATCGCCCTTGATCTGAACGGCACCTTCTCGCTGATTAAGAAAGACATGCATGGGCAGGGAGATTGGATTTACCCTCGTGGTGGTGTAATAATACTCCCTTTCCCCACCAATTCAAAAATGTGAATGAGGAAAATCTAAAGAAATCTGAACAGCACGCTACTTCGTTGTCTCTCCTTGCGCACACCACAGGATTATAGATCAGACAAACGAAAACAGCGACCACAACTCACATATAGAAGATAAATAGGAAAGTCAATTGAATTCCCACGCTTCTCCATAGAGGAAGGGGTGGGGAAGAGAATAGTCATAATTATAGGGATTTTGATGAGTCCGGCGATCTATCAGTATAACATGAAACAGGGAAAATACGTTGGGTAAATTATACATCACGCTACCCGACCCGTTTGTGAACGGTTCAGGTCTACGAAAGGAAAGCAAAAAAAAAGCTATGAGCCTCGTGTGGAAACAGAAACATCTACAATATCATGTACACCATGTTGAATTAACATCGACTTGAGAGCTTTTTGATCCGTAAGATCGACCTGGCAGGAGGCTGGTAAGGGTATACTCTCAGTAGTCCCATTTTTGTGAATTACCTTTACCAAATGGTAATTTTTTTGCGTGAGGTACGCATTTGTCTCAGGAATTTCCCAGCAATTTTGTACTATTTGAACAAAGCGGCCATCTTCCAATGTTGCCGGGGAAATATCCGTATAGTAGTCAATAAACTCTTCCAGCGTCACAGTACCCATTTTATGCCTGAATGCCGCTGGCCACGAGCTCTCGAAGTCGAATATGGCCTCTTCCCTGGTGATAAGACCATCCTGCACGTCTGGATGAAGTGGGGCGTTGTGGCAATATAGACGATACATAGACTCGAACTGCACAGATCCTCTTCCCTCCATGATGAGCTTCTGGTAGGCCTCCGTAACCGCCTGAAGCCGCACAGCATTCAAGTTGCCACGGAGTTCCGCAACAAAGTCCTGAACACGGATTAAGTTGGTGCCGTGGGTGTCAAGTTTCTTAATAACTACATCTAATTCAATAGGCCGCAGCCGGACCCCGAGGCGGCTCACGAGATCGTCCAGTTGTGTGCGGCTAAGAAAAGTGCTGCAGCGCTCATTGCACGCCACCCCCAGAGAGCGTGAGATCGCACGGAGGCCGACGCGACCGCCGTAGTAAACGGCACCCTCTCGGATGCGATTCATGATCTTATCCACTTCATCTCCACAGGTTACAGGCATAGTGCTCGCCATCGTGACAGTCAACCGTCTGGTTGCCTTTGTCTTAGATTTCTCATCACTGCTACCGTATGAAAAATAAAATAAGTTTTCTCCATTGACAGCGACCGCCTCCTGCACCCGCGTATGTCTAGTCGTGGCGTATCCGCAAGAGATGGAGTACTCCATACCATAGCTGGTGCGTTGAAGGGTGTGGTCACAACACAGAGGACTATTAGTGATGGAGTGAAGTAACACGATAGGATCCCCAACGTTCACGACTTCCCCTTCGTGTGTAGCCTCACGCTTTGCACACGGCCGGCACACCACGAAAACATTGTCTGCACAAGCGTTCATAGAAGCAACCACTAGTTGTTTTTCCGACGAGTAGCGACCTGAGGCGAGCTGTGATTGTAGATAGTAAAAACCCTTATCACTGGCACACTCATTACAAATCCGAATGCGTTGCCCGTAGTGAAGCTCCATTGGCTCTTTAAAACTTTTATTGTAGGCAACATTATTGTCGTCTGTACAGCGCTCTAACACCCACGTAGAACGCAGTTGCGACGCACAACTCTGCATTCCAGTCACTGGGGCCTTGTCTGAGCTGGTCATCATGAGTGGGGAGAGGTCAAGCGCTAGAGCACACTTGGCTTGAGCATTAAGAAGAAGAAGTGGGGCGCCAAATCGCACCGGGCCGGATGGGGTTCCAGATAGCAGTGTGCTTGTCTCAAGATACTGGAGCGCAGCCTGTGACTGTGGGGCCGACATTTGCTTGCGAGTTTGGTATAACTTGAGCTTGTCCCTTTCCACACACATCTCTTCAAACCAATTGCCAATAAGAACTCCAGGGGAGTACCTCTGACAATTTCCTTGGTCCAGGCTGTTTGCAAACATTTTTTTTGTTTTTAGAAGATCTACTTGATATATATGCTTAAACGAGATGTTCTTTTTCCTGTTAATTCTATCTTACCCCTTGAAAACCTAAACCAGGAAGAAAAGATGGGGTAACGGATCCTCTAATATTTGCTGGAGAAAACAAAAGACCATAGCCACTCTCGGCTAGATTGAGCCTTTTGAGCTTAATATTATTAGTGTTGTTTATTTTGTTTGACACCTGGTCATGAACCTTCAGATTAGGGTAGTCTCCCTTCATGTGGCACCGCAATGCACTACTTCAATGCGCTCGCTCGGAAAACCATCTGGCCGAACAGAGATGCGTTCCATCGTCTCGATAACATCCCACCCATCGACCACTCGCCCAAAACAGATACAGGTACCGTTGAGATGGGGAGCACCGTTTGCAGTCAAGATGAAAAACTGCGACCCGTTGAGATGGGGGGCACTCACAGCAGTACCTAACAACCCCTTACGGTCAAACACCGATTCCTGAACCTCTTTTGGAGCATCGAAGGTTTCACCGTAAATGGAAAGCTGCTCCGTGCCTCTATCGCTGACTATATCACCCCCCTGCACCAGATATCCCTGACATACCCGATGAAAAGTAGTACCGCGGTATGTCAGTTGGGGGAGGAACTGGTCACCAAACGAAGGGTTACCAAGGCCTTCTACACTCGATACTTGAGGAAGAACATTCTCGCCCGTACAGAGTTTCAAAAAATTTTCCGAAGCCACAGGACATTTTTTGTAAAATAGTTCAAAGGTTACCCTCCTAGGATCTTTTCTGCCTATGGATATGTCCATGAAGACATTCCCAAGGCGTCTCGTGGCACGTAACAGTGAATTTAGCGTAAACATCAAAGTTTTCCACTACTTGTGCTATAAATGGAAAACGAAAAGAGATTAGAGTTGTAGTAGTTGCAATTTGTGAAAAAAATAAATAGAGCAAGGTGGCATATCAATCCCCATTAACTCACTACTACAACTCGTAATATAGTCCATGAATAGTCTTATTTGTCTTTTATTCTTCTTGTGCAGTGATCGACTGAATGTCTATAGAGAAAGAGGGTATAAATTAATATTACCCTATTGAGTAAAAATTGCAGCGAAGTTATATATATATATATATATATATATATAAATGTTAATAAATGAATCTATGACAATAGTTTCTATCAATAAGTAGCCTTCTTATTCCTTGCAAGATATTGATCAATCGCAGGAAAAAGGAATAAAACTTGCTCTATGTTAACTTTGAGTGATTTCTGCTCGTGGATCTATGAGGGACACTTCACTTTTCTAGCGAGTGAAGATATTGTATCTATGTCGACGCGTCCACACACCACATCCTTGATTGCTTCCTCGTGTGCTATTAAGGCTTCCCAACCAGGTTCGCCGATGACCTCGCGCCAATTATCCCACTCAAAGTATCTGTGACACAACACGCATTGCCGGGGGTTGAGGGTTCCTAGCTTATCAGAACTGAGGGTGCTCAGCTCTCGTATGCTGTGGGCATAAGCTGGGAGTGCGGCCTTGCTCTTCAGTTGATATGCAATAAGGTGATTGTTATGTAGCACCAGTGTTGGGCATTGCTGAATTAGCCCGGGCATTTGTCCCATCGCCACAAAACCCCGAGCATCCATATACCGACTAAGCATGCGCGATTTAAGCGTACCCTTTCCACTTGAAACGTGCTTGTATGGGAGACGCTGATTGATTAGTTCGATTCCTACTAGCCCTGAAGGTCGAGGAAGCAGCAGAAGAGCCCGTCGTGGGTTGGCGTTGATGCCTTGTGAAGAGGAAATCAGCACGTTCGGCCTATGCATGAGCGCGTGGTGCGTCACTGGACTCGAAAGTCTTTTTGTTAGGAGGGCAGTGCGCACGTCGTTGGCCCGCTGGTTTCCCAGTTGAATCAAGCTGTTAAGCGCCCACAGCGTGTTAGCGTTTGTCATGGGAATATATTGTGGGCTTAAATTTATGATTGGGCGCTGACTTATATCCGAAGTCTGCTTCATGAAGGAAGAGCAAAAAATGAGTAAAAGGGAATCATATGAAAATGAGGATGTACACACCAGTAAAGTAAGAGTCACGCAGATGATGTGAGTACATGAATAGGGTGATTATGACAGCAAGGTAGGAGTGACAAAAGGGTTAAATGTTTGACTTCTAATATATATACATATATACGTTTAGCGATAAAGGTTACTTCATTCCAAACGGATCCAGAGAAGCAAATATTTTATCATTTGAACGGATCTCCGCCCCTATTCCCCTTGCAGGTTGATGAGTCGTCACCGCCGACGCTGAGGGGGGATTAGAACCCCATAAATTTGTTTCTGTGGGCTGAAAAAAGTCTACACTATTCATTTTACTGAAAGGCGGTTGAGGCGCTCGGATTTCGGTCATTTGAGGTTGTTGTTGTAGCCCGACGGGTGTGATGTTGGGCGTGCTGTTTGCATTAAAGTTACTGTATCTTCCTTGGTTTTGGAAACGGTTCTCCTGTGCGACTGGTACCGGGTCAGAGTTATACGATGAAGTATAAAAATTCTCAAGATTTTGCGCAGGGTAGCTGGGGAAGCTGCCAACAGCGTTCCCCTGACCACTGTAGGGGGCTGCCGCCAAATGCTGCTGCATTTGAGGAGGCTGCATGTAGCTGGGCTGGGGTACCAGTTGAGATGGTTGAGTTGCTTGAGGAACAGAAAAGAGGTCTTGAAGGAGGTTGGTTGTTGGCTTAGCATTAGAGGGGTTATCAGGATTGCTAGCGGACGGAGTCGTGCTCACAGGAGCCGGTGCCGCAGAGAAGCCATTGAAAAGGTCGACTTGTGGAGGTTGTGGCCGCTGAGTAGCAGCCACAACAGGCACAGAGGACCTAGCTTGAGGGGCTGGTGCATTGATCTGAGCAGATAGTGGGCTCACTAGTGTTGTTTCTGCTGTTGACACGTGTGGTTTGGTTTCAGGGTTCAGCTCGTTTTGGATACTTTTCTTGAATTCTTCCTTTTTTGCCTTATCAACATATAACTCCTTTACGAACGTGCTCTCAACGAAGTTTTGAATTGCATGGACATCCCCGGAGCGGGGTTTAGTGCCTTTGAAATGAGCGAGCCATATTTGTGCAGCAACGTCATTACCACCAACCTCGACTCCAGTCACTTCCTTGTCTGCAAATGTGCACATCGAAATGCCTTTCACCTTATGTTGGAAAGAGCGATGTGTAGAGCTACAAATAGAACACACAAGGATATAGAAGTCCGTCACCACATACAGGGGACCCCGCACGCCACAGTCAAAGCAAAGCTTGTTGCCATCCTTCTGCGCTAGCCGGCGTAGCTTATCCTTGTTTCGTTCCACCTTAAGTTGGTTTAGATTCATAGATTTTTTTGTTTGAAATTTTAACTTATTTTGTGACTCAATATATTTGTAGCGGTTGAGTATTTTTTTTTGAGTATGAGGATCTAATCCGATTCAATCTGTTTGATTGGTTGAAGTGCCTAATCTAGAATATAAAATAGAAGAACAGCGAAAGTAATGAAATCAAGCATAGGAGTGAAGGAGCATTTCTTCACAAATTTGCGTCAGACCTGTCCCAATTATCTTTGTAGTGGACCGACTTGCTCATTTTATCCTTCTTTTATTATTTGCACAAGCATTCATGGGCTAATGAATAGCACAGTTGCCTCATGAGGCGGACGTCAACAGGTCTGCGATACAGGTGCTTGAAACACAGTGGCCACCTCCTTCATCTCCTTCACATCAAGTACACGCCAATGCGGGCTTGGTAACCTTTTCAGCCACTGGAAATCATTCACACCCTTGAAAGAGCTTTCCATACGTTCTGAATTTTGTATCTCACCCACCTCATGTACCCATTCAATGTGGCTATCGTACGTGCGGCCATCATCCATCGCGGATCTTAACAGTCCGCTCCAGCAGTAATACGGACCAAAGCGCATCCCATCGCATCGCTCAATGATGGGTATGGAGGCGCAACACACGTAGACGTCAACCTCATGGCAATCTTTCAGACGCAGCTGATGGCAAGCGACATACAACGTGCAGTTGGAGCAGTCCGAGACAAAGACGGAACCAGCGATGGGAAGGGCTAGGATTGTGCAACCTACACAGTCCTTGATGAAGGCTGCTTTTCCATGAGGCACAAACAATGTTGTATCCTTTGCATGGCCGTAAACAGTTTGGTTTGTGTTGACAGTCATGGTTGCTGTTGTATCACAACTAACCACCGTCTTAACCGTATCAGGGGGCTTGCTCTTCGATTGGCTCGCGTCATTCTTGTTCTCAGCCTCTACCTTAGAAGACTTACTGATCTGCGAGAACCTAAACTTCCGACATTCTGAGGCTAATCCACGACGCCCATCCAGAGCTTGTTGCAACCGTGAAAGGATGGCGTTAGCTTTCGACATATCGTACGCCGTAAGTGATATGCTGTTGGAGGCATCCTGTACGAGAGCTCTCATCTGATTCAGAATTTGTTGTGCATCTTCCAGGGAACCTTGATTAATTCTATAGTCTACCTCTCTCTCCTTTTTAGTAAATTCATCATTGAACTGTTGTCGAAGCTGCGCGAGTTCCGACGTGTCTCTTGAACGATTGGCATTATTTTCCATACGCTCTTGCCTAGCCTTCAAAAATTTCTCCTCCATGGATGTGTTCTAGCGTTTATTTCCTTGTATAACATGATAGGAATGGTAGAGTGTGAGTGTGCATCGATTGGGGATGTGTGTGTGTGGGGAACGGAAAATGTGCACTGTAAAACAAGGTCAGTCACCGAATCATATGAACATTATGCAATGAATTATGTTCTTATTGCGGGATGATAAATCATAATTACTTTAGAATCCAACCAATTCGCGAAATGGAAGCCTGCAAAAGATCCCTTCGTGGGGCAATGCATCCCACACTTGTACAACTCTAGCAGCAACATAAAACCACTTTCCCTAAATGCCACACGCTCAGAGCATCTTCTTTAAATCCGAAGGGTCACTTTGTCGCTTTCAAGTACGGCAAAAAAATCTGTCGCAACTTTTCGGCGTCTAAATTCTTTCCAAGAACAAGTACACGAGTACAACCTAACGGCAAAGTATGACCCTCCATCATTCTTACATCAAAGAGATCCCCAATGCTTTGGAGTTGCAACAATGAGTACATGTTATCTTTGTACATCCAAATCGCCGCCTTACAGCGCACCACTTCGAAGTCATTCTCCTCACTATTGTATAGTAGTTCTTTACAAATGAAGTCGACATCCCGTGGATCACCCACGGCTAAACAGCGATCGCAATCGTAAAACTCTAATGAAATTGCCCTGATGGTGGAGTGGTGTTCGATGTGGGCACAGTCCAGCTCCTTCAGTGAGCGTGTGGTGCCAATGAAAAGAATACGACGGAGGTCAGGTATCTGAGAGTAGCTACTTCGTATCACCTCTGCTACAGGATTGATAGCGCGTACTTCACTCAGTGCGGCCTCTTGCTGAGACGGTGTGGCGATATCACACTTGTTCAAAACGATTTTGTCGGCCAGCAACAACTGACGAGAAGCTTCGTTGGATACGTCGCCATCTGCCAGGTATTTGACAATGTTGACAGAGTCCACAAGCGTGACAATACCAGAGAGGTAAAGTTTACCGCACAGAGCATCATCCTGCCAGAACATTGTTGCAATAGGTCCAGGATCGGCCAGCCCGGAGGTCTCAACAAGAATGAGGTCAAAGGTGCCTTTGCGACAAATCAACGATTCCAGAGCCTGTACCGTTTGGGTCTGAGCTGTGCAACACATGCAGCCGTTTTTAAGCTCCAGCCACTCGTCATCGAGCTTCTCGGAGCTCTTTAAATGGAGACCCTTCTCAATTGTTCTACCAAACTCAAACTCATTTACAATGACAGCAATTCGCAGGTTATGTTCAGCTGAAATAACATAGTGCAACAGGGTCGTCTTCCCGCTACCGAGGAACCCAGTCAGTATGGTGACTGGTACCTTGGCACTAATAAGATTTGGACACTCATCATCATCACTCATCCTACGAAATTTTTTTAAGAGAAATGTAATTACCAACTTTGTTTAGACACCTCTGGATTGATATGCTCTGTATGTTTGTATGTGCTACGGTTCATGTAAAACGATAGGAGCTCAATGGGGGCTTTCGCTCCCATACGAACCATTTAACAAGTACAGCATTATTTGAAAAAGGGGAGTAGTATACCCCTTAAACAGGGAAGCCTTAGCCACTAGTTATGCATGAAAGAGGGGTAAGTTTTATTTTTTGTTGACACGGTATATATATCTACATGTATACCTTTTCTTTTTGCCATGACACTAGAAACCAATAGTTGCAAATATATACTAATACCACATCACGATTAAAATTTAATACAACACACCTGCGCTTGATTTTTTGAATAAACATTGATATTAAACGCATGACTTCTCGTCGTCTTGCGCATCGGTTCGATTGGTTTCCCTCTCTAGCCTTTCCTTAACGCGAAGCAGCATAGCATTATAGGCTTCCTCTAAATCAAACGAGGAGGCACACTCTTTTCCGGCTGTTTGTGCTAACGAATGAGAGGGGTTCGCAAACTGCCTTGTTGAAGAGTCATTTTGTCTGTGTATCGGTCGCGGGGTGCTGATTCGCATGACAAGGTCTCGGGCTTTTTGACTAGGCTCTGTTGGTAAAGAGCGAGAAGGGTAGTTGCTCACCACATGTCCCATCGCGGGAAAGGATTCAGGGTGTTCTAGATATTGAACGATACGCTCGTGAACGTCATAGTATTGCTGAGGAATACCGTTGTGTTTGACTTCTAGAGGCCTCATCTCTAGAGATATGCCATTCGCATGATGTGTTTTACTCAGTTTCAGCTAAATCTCTCTTGAGGGTTTACAAATTTACACCTTATTAGACTGAGCAAATCGAATCTTGATTCTAGGTGTATCTTTTCTGTTTTTAATTGACCAATAGCAAGTATTTTAGTACAAGTATCTTAGTTATTGTTAAGTTGCTGCAAGTCATGAGATTTTTGCACTTACTGTTATCGCAATTGTGCAGTTATCTTTTTTTATTCTGCAGTACACTGATTTGATAAAAAATTTTCCCATTGATCCAACTGTATCGTACGATTGTACTTGTCGTTACTGCCGTTGTTTAGGTTGAATTTTAGTCACTTTCTTTTGGGCACATTTGTCAAATGTATACCGAAAACCATTCATGCAAGGAGGTAGCTCTTAATGATGTTTTAGTAGTATCGAGAGAATAAACTTTGATTTTTTTAATCAACATATTGCAGGAATAATACAAACTGAAAAATGGTCGTTCTTTTTTTTTTTACATCCTACAGAAAGCTTTGTAGGCAGGAAATTCATAGATGGTCCCATTCTCATTGTGCTGGGATTTGTCAAGGAAGATTTGTGGTAAAAAGTCTGATGGACCCTGTTGCTGTCCGTAGATTTTTGGGGCGGACGCCGAGATACCACACATTCGTATCGGGGAACAGTTCTGATGTTCCTTCGACATACGTTGTTGTATATTGCAGTAGTTTACTGCAGGATGCACATCAGACTCTTCACATAATAATACTACTTGTTGACACATTCGTTGATCTTGGGATGCCTCAATGAGGCACATTGCAATGGCAACACTTACCCCGGCTTCTCCCCATACAAAGCTGGGCCCATCTGGGGTAAAGACTCTCTGCTTTTTTATATTACCCACCAGACGCGGCACAACGTTCGGTAGCAACCGATCCCTGTTCATCTCTGATATTAGAAAACGTCTTCGAATGTCGAACTCCGTAAATGCCGTCCCTCTGTTTACCGCAGGAAGATCAACTTCGGTAGAATTTGCGAACGCGACGGGATCAATGTCGAACCAGTATGCAATAGGATTCATGTCAAAAATAACACCTATGTACTCCAATGTGCAGCGTAGGACCTCGGCAATGCGCATGTAATAGTCTGATACCCGCGGTTCATTATGATAGCACCTCAAACAACGCTCGAAGTAAGGCCCATCAATGATCACCAAAACCTTCCTATCGCTTTGCATAGCGTACAATGGCTTATACATGGATACCGCAGAATCCAAAATTTCCTCGTGTGGGATGTAGTTGCTATTTCGATTGTTTGAAATGGCATCCTCATTTACGGGGTGTGGGGTCATGGTTGACGTATGCTTAGGCTCTACATCTTCATAACTCCACGAAGGATCCGCAAGGCCTTGAGTATTCTGACACTTACCATCGGGGTGTGTACTTCCACACTGTGGGCAGTGCAGTTTAGTGCACGCCCCCACAGTATGTCCCTTCTCACGACAGTATTTGCAGATAGCCTCTGGGCAATGAGCGAAGATGTGGCCGGGCATATGACACATCTTACATAGATGGCCCTGGGGACAGTCGGCGGCCTGGTGTCCGGGCTCCTTGCATTGGTAGCAAATGCGACCTTTATACTTAACCGGGCAGTTGGCTGCACGGTGCCCGGCGTCAGAGCAGTGGAAGCAGTGTGACTTGCTGTGACATATCTGTGAGCTGTGGCCGTAAGCACCACAGTTAAAGCACCGTGTAAGGGGGCAGGTGAGCATCATATGACCCCACCGATGACATTGATAACACACAATCGGCTGATACCGCTCCAGGCGGTTTGCCTGCATGTCCTGCGTCGAGTCGCATGATTGACATGACCCTATGCGCTGGCCGTCATCCCCAAAGGTCGGTTCTTCATGCTCTGCGTGCTCGTTTGCTACCTCTCGTGGACCTTCACTTTTGTAAGTTCCATTATCACCATAGACGTGTTGTTTCGATAAGGGACAGTTTGCACTAAGGTGCTCCGATGAAGAGCAAATGGAGCACGTAACCAATGCTGATGTTGAAACGTGTACAGCTGAGCTATTAAACCGCCCGTCGGATGGTTCAGCTGCGGAATTCACAGGAAAAGGGGGAACAGGCGCGGAAGGTATTCGCATATGGTATAAAAGGGAAACCCTGCGAGGTGATAAACTCGTACACACGTAGACAAATCAAACTAATAATAAACCAACCTCTAAAAAGGAAACGAGGTACAGATCTATTATACCTTTTAAGAAGTCAACAAGAGTCAAATCTTACCCTTTACCTATTTAGTTTAGTTTAGGTTACTTGTCGAGTTGTTGAAGGTTATTCTATAAAAATTCAGGAGGGCGTTTATGGTGCATTTTTTGTTTAATTCATTGATATGCATAACGCCTCTGAGGATTGAGCAAGAAAAGCGCACTTGGTGACACTTTAGTGGGGTAGTTTTGAATCGATCAGCAGCAGATGACATCCCCTCAACAGAAGTAGTAGTAAAGTGAATCAAGATGGAGAGGGGAAGCTTCACTGTCGGAGAGAGAACAATCCTCCAATCCAACAGACAACACCGGGACTAGCCACAAGCGAACAAGTCACCAGCCATCTAGCTGGAGTTTTTAATACAAAAGAAGACCATAGCAGAAAAGGGGCTATTCTAACCATTGAAAAAAGTTACACTGCCGATTTGCACATGTGAAGAATGGTTTCCCTTTGGAAGTTTCCTTTCGAGAAACAAGCCGCTTCGCTTGAATTCCGCAGCCGCAAAGCACGTTATCGTCCAAGTTACAATTGTTGGGCGTCTTTTCTTTGATACCAACTCGCTTTGATGATCTCTTGGGCGCACTCACAGACGGCAATGTGTACACTGATCTCACAGCTGCTGTACTGTCAGCCTGGACATCGCTTTTGGGCTGATACCCTCGTACGACGAGGTAGTCCTTTAGTCGGTGGTCGCAGGTTGGGCACACGGTGTCGATCATATCCATACCCGGAACCCCTGGCATCGCCCCAAAGTCGAAGGTGAGCAACACAGTCTGACATGTTGTGCAGCGCTGGTTTGGATTGTATGTAATCGCGCTTGCTTTGGGTAGGTACACTGAAAAGTTACAGGCGGGATATCCCTTACAGGCCAAGTAGTAGCCAGTGGAACTTGAGCGCAGACGAAGGTCGTTTTCCTTGCATGACACACACCGTGTGATGGAGAGCTGCTCCAATCCCCTGGCAAGGGGGCAACTCGATGCGGTGCACTGAAAACAGCGGAACTCCCCTAATGTTTCGATCTCAGGAGGGGGGTTGGTGAAGCAGCAGGGACAAATAGTGTAACTGGTGTTTTTTTCTCGGTTCGTCACTTGTATAGCCCTGAATGAGCACAACACACAGCGCTGTGAAAGAGGTTCTAAAAGATTTAGGCTACCGTTGGGCACACGGTACTGACGGACACATTGAAGGCAGCGAAGATACCAGCAGGCACGATCCCCGTCCTTACTCTCAACCAACTCCATCGACTGATTACACACACCACAGTCTGTAAATCCAGTTTGCCGAACCTGCGCGTGTGTCAGATGGCCGGGTGGGTCAACACGATTCACAGGACGCAGATGTTTGCAGAGCTCCTCATAAAAGATGCGGCTGTTGTGCTCCAGCCGGTCGAATATTTCACGGTACAGCTTCACAGACGCATCAACGACCTGTTCCTTCGATACGACACCCCTGACGATGTCACCCATCGCCAGTTCCATCTGGGCGCGCAGCTGGGGCTGCAGCAAGCTCGCCAAGCCAACTGCCTCGTAGGCGGAAGCCAAGGCGATGCCAAGGGTAGTGGGCAGGAGCACCTGCCCCTCACGCCTCACATACTCGCGATCGATCACCGTCTTGATGTGCTGGGCGATAGTGGCGTCCGTACCGATACCGTGATCATCCATGAGGGCGATCAGATCCGTCTCAGTCAGGTTTGGCGGCGCCGAGGTGCGGTGCCTTTCCATTTGAACCTCGGTAGGAGCAAACTGATCCCCAACCTTGTAACACGGTATCGTACTACTATGCCAATTATCGTAGATGTATATGTCAAGATAGCCCCGCTGAAGGACGGTGGAGCCCCCAGTGGTAAACTCTTCATCTCCAAATACCATCCGCACCGACGTCGTCGCTGCCACTGCGTCCGGAGAGAGAGAAGCAAGGAAGTGCTGAGCGATAAGTGTGAACAGACGACCTTTCTCATCGTTCGGGCTACCTCCCCACGCCTTGGTGGGGTGGATAGGCGGATGCGCCTTGTCATTGTGAGAACCGTTTAGCGGTCTCCTGAAGAGTTGCTGGGGGTTCTCGAGCATGGCGGTGCTAAACTCAGCAACCGGTGGGTAGGCTTTCAGCCCCCGCACCAACTCCAATAGTTCGTGATCTTGAAACGAAAAGGAGTCCGTCTCCGTGCGTGGGTAGGAGATGAACCCTTCCTGGTATAGCGACTCGGCCAGCGCCATACACCGCTCCGAGGAGATGTGTAGATGCCTGGAGGCCAACTTCTGGAGCACCACCGTTGCCAGCGGCACCGGCGGGCGCCGATGCCGAGGCCTTTGCTGCACACTCACAACGTTGCACATGTTTCGATTCGCAGCGGCGCACTCGAGCATGTCGCTGAAGACCATCGTAGCACCCACTTGTTCGTACATGGCGCCGCGGCTGGAGCGGAAGGCGGTTTCCCCATGCCGCACGCTAAGTGTGAAGTAATCCTCCGGCACGAAGGCCCGCTGCTCCCAGTACCGACGCACCACAAAGCCTAGGGTCGGGAATTGGCATGGTCCAAAGCTGAGCACGCGCGCGATGCCCTCAAAGGCTTCACCGTACCGGACTGTTTGAAGGCGTGTGAAGGCGGCACCAATGCGCAGGTCCATCTCTTGCCGCGCCTCGACCGCCTCGGAAAGCTTCTTGTCGGGCTGCTTGAGATGGTGAACGGCATAAAGCAGGTCACGTTTGGTGAGCGCCGAAAAATGAGCACGTTTTGCGACAAGCCGTGGATTCTGTCGCTGCGCTACCTGCACTACCTCGAAGCAGATATTTTCCCCTTCGCGGTCGCAATCCAGCCATAGCACCAGCGTGCTTGACCGCTTCGCCAGCGACTCGATGTTCTGTTGGACGGGTTGCAGCTCCGGCTTCACCACTTTGATTATCTTTGCGGTAAAGAGATCTCGAAATGGAAACCTGGACCAACTTTTCGTGTTTGGTGGAAACTCATCCTCCATAAGATGGCCTAACACAGACGTTACCAACATCTTTTTGCCTTCAAAAGTAAATTCGAAAACTGGATTGAAACGAGACTGCACTAATATGGTGCGTGCATGTCCTCCAGAGAGGGCATTGGCAATCTCCTTCGCGACACTAGGCTTTTCAGCTACGTTAAGCCATGTAGTCATCTACCCGCACCTGAAAAGCCCAACTTTCCCTCTGTGTGTCTAAGCAAAGAGCAACAGCTGCGCAGAGAGGTAGTAGTCTAGGGGGATCAGCTAGTGTGTGTGATGGTTATGGACTTTATGCTGAAATTCATTGAATATCAGATAGTGATGTTTTAGAAAAATAGAGGACATTTCCAAAAGTTATAAGAATGAAGTTCCCAAAGAAAGGTAATCCTCCCCCTTTTGTGGGATTTCATTGACAGCATATGTATTCGTTTCCATCGAATCACGCCAAAGATAAATATATTTGAATCTGATTGATACACCATCAACATGGGGAAAATACGACTCTAAATTCACTGCTTTTTTATATATTGTGGGTCCCTAAAATTATTGAAATTTTCATCATCAACAATATTTATTAATGGTATATACTCCCTTTTCCTCCTCAAAATAATAAAAACAGAAGAATATTAATAAAAAGTAAGTGATCAGATTTACCGCGCATCCATCATCCATCCGTGAGATACACAAAAATGCCAATCCGCTGCGAGAAGTCTCCGAAGAGAAGTGATATATAAAAGGGTGTATACTTTCTCCCAAATAGATGCATAAAAAAAAAAACGGTTGAAACCAAATTAAATAGTGCCCTAATTCTGAAGGCACGCACCTCAAACTGAATATTATTGGATTTGAATTAATATGGACCTCATAATATGAGCGATTCAAATGCCAAATTCCTCGCACGTACATCATATAGTCCCTTCGGCATCTTTTTCTTCACTGAACCCTTAACCAATAGGGGCGCATCCGAGAGATACAAATCACATAATGAAAATTTACGATTATCTATAAACAAAATGCATACATACTTCATTTTCTTTTTTCATATTTGACAAAACTGCATCGTCCTTATTATTTTATAATATGCACAAGTAGGTTTATTTGTGCTCCGCTCTGCGCTATAACTAAGCATGAATACGATAGAAAAAAAGGATGGACCACAACTACATGGTCCCCTCCCCCCCTTCTTTGCCTTCCACTACATTTTTTTTTTCGATTTCGTTGCTTAGGGCTGCTCATCTGTCCAAAGGTTTAGGTTGTCGCGAAGAAGGCGTACGATCAGTGTCGACTCACGATATGCCTCCTCGTCAAGTACCTCCACTTCCGTCACGGCCTCATCGTAGGCCTGGCGGGCGAGCTGAAACCCTTTCTCATGTTCCTTCATGATCTCATAGTAGAAAACGGAGAAGTTCAGAGCAAGCCCAAGGCGGATGGGATGCGTAGGAGAGAGGGAGGAGTTCGCCACCTCCGTCGCCTTCTTATAGGCTTCAAGAGCTGCATTACGCTGCGACTCGTCAGATGATATCTCAGCATAGTAGCGATGGTAGTCGCCTTTCATTTTAAGATAAAATACTTTTGCCTCACCACCTTGTGCAGCGGGAATCAAGTAGGTGTCGAGAAGACCGAGCAAGTCGTCACACACAGCGGCCAACTCGAGTGCGAATTGCCTTCGGAGGTTTGCAATGAGGGCTGTGTTTTCGCTATCTTCGTTAGCCAATTCGCGACTTTCGATCGAGGAAATCACACGCCAGGCGTTGCGGCGGGGCCCGATCACATCTTTGTATGCGACCGACAGCAGATTGCGCTGTTCTGTGTCCAGCTCGTTGTTTAGCTTCACCACCTTGCGCATGCACAGCACCATCTCATCGTAACGCTCAGCTTCCTCAGTAAGCTTCGCCATAAAAACCAGGTCGTGCAGGTTGTCAGGTAGCTGAAACTCAGCGGTGCTTCGCTTGGGGACGATTTCATCTTGAATAGCACTGTTTTGCCACTTGATTATTTCTGTCATTTTTTTCTTTTAGTTTCGCTTAAGATGTATTGAATTGTATCTAGCGAATTTGCTTAATATCTATAAATACTTATGCGAATAATATGGAGAATATCGATAGAACAATGTAAAAATATTTGACTTTAGATACCTACACTATGAAAATGTGCTTTTTTTCAACTTTCCAAGAGAAAAGTGAATACCAACAAGAGTAACTGAGAGGAGGCCAAACGTCTAATGCGGGCAGTGACACCGAGATGGTAGACTGCATTTCAATGATAGGTTTACAATGGGGAGATTAAAGAAATCATAAACGACAAAATCCACACAGAAGATTAGGAGGGCTACTGTGCTACAGGTGTTTTAAACCTGAAATCAACTACATATGTTTCGCAATGAAAGTGACTGGAAAGGGTGTCACCATATATAAATAACAAAATATAGAGATCAAAAAGTAGGTATCGATCTTGGGTTCCAATGAATGTAATAAATAATAAGAAAACTAATGTTTGTGACACAAGCGAATAAAGAAACCATTCAAAAAAAATATTTTTAGGGCTGTGTTAGCCCCAAATACTATCACTATTTCAATTTTAATCTTTAGATAATACGCCTTGTCAGCACTAAGAAAGTTCATCCAGCTTTTGGAGCGGGACACGTCTTTTAGAATGGCAATGGTTCGTGTATATTTACGAGGGGCTGATGATCAAAAATAGTGCTACTCATATTTCCTATTTCCGTAGTGCAACTACGAATACTGCGATTAGTCTACATGGCAGCAAGGATACGATCAGAAAAAGTACCTTATTTGCGCCGCAGTGCTTTATATTCAATACCAGCATTACACGGGGTCTGAACCCCAGTTACGTCTCTCGTGAACTCTATGGTATCACACACCTGCGCCCATTTATTTCAACTGCTGCCACCGCGCAGCCCTATCACTTTGGTAGAAATCGATGACCTAGAAGATTCAATATCCTTGGCTCCATTTAACTAACAATTCGAGCTGACAGATCGTTATGTACCACCATAAGAATGATGCGATTAGTTAATAGGAGGATGCTTTTTGGATGCCCGACCCTTTCTCTGAAGCTCACTGCAGTCGCACGCGCAGGCATGTTTGCAAAGAAAAAGAAATAGCTAATTTGTAAGACTAATACTTTCTATAAAGAAATATTTTTTAGAAATATAAAACACAGCTAGTAATATTGATTAGGAGCGATACAAAGTGCATTTTGATTCATCTTGCAGACCCATAAAGGTAAGAATTCGTACCAAAAGACCCAACGCACAATAACATCTTTGTATAAGAAAACCCTAACAGAAACATTTTTATTGTTTTTCAACTATTATGAGGTGACATAAGTGGATAAAAGGTCTCAATAGTCATTGATATGTTCACACAAACATACAAAGTCCAAAGCGTGCTCTGAATGAATTTAGGGTTCATGATGAAGCGAAATGACGAATATCTAAAACAAACAAACCAAAATAGCAACACTGTTTAAAGGGCCACAAATCTATCTATGCATGATTCTTTAACTCTATAAAGAAGACTATCCAGTAATCTAAGAAAGGGGAGGGGGTTTGTGAGCGTTTGGATGTGGGCTATCATCTGGAAAGCTCCACGAGGCGGTTATGGAGGAGTTCGGCTTGTTCATTTTGGCTTTTTAGTAATTCAATAACATCACACGGCGGCTGGGAATGAGGCTGCATTGCCTCCCCGACGTTGCTACACCGAGGGCGTGCGGCGTACCCGCAGTTCCGCAGCGCGCCTTCACCCTCCGCCACGGCGCGAATCAATTTACGCCGGAGGGAGTCACTCGTCGCCCTCTCCTTCGCTAATTGCTTTTTGTACGCCTTGACCTCACGGGTAAGACGAGATATCCGTTCCTCAGCAGCCTCTTTGACGTCCACCAGCTTGCCTTGGACCTTCTGGGAGGCCTTGTGGTACTCGGCGAGCTCCTCCTCCTGCACTTCGATGCGAAGCCGCATCTTATCGGCCTCGAAGCTCATCTCGTGGTACTTCTCCACCGCCGAGGTGAGGTGTTCGAGCTGCAGTTTCGCCGCGTCGAGCTGCTCCACGGCGTACGTCTTTTCGGTAATCAACCATGCCTCCTGCTGAGCCGCCTCCGCGAGTTTCGCCTCAAGTTGCTGATTCACGTCGACCAAGGCGTCGTAGTTCATTTGCTGCTGTTGCGCCGCGCTACGGCTTTTGGCCAGCTCCGCTTCAAGGGATTGAACCTGCGCGTGCGCGCGTTGGGCGTCCTCGCGGGCGAGCTGAAGACCGGCCTGGAGGGCCACCACCTCCGCCGCGGCCTCGTCGCGGGCGTGATTCAACTGCTGCTGGACGGAGCACTGCAGGTCGTTATACCGGTCGTGCTCCTCCGTCACCGTCGCCCGCATCTCATTCAAGGCCTCGGAAAGCATCTCGATTCGGGCGTTGAGTCGATTTCGATCCTTCGCGGCGTTTCGTGTGGTGAGCTGGATCTCCTCCTCGTGTTGCCGGGTTTTCTCCTCTAGCCGTCGTTGGAGGGACTCGACTTCTTGATTCAGGCGGTGGGCCTCTTGCTGCGCTAACGCGGCCTCGGAGGCATGCCGTTCCTTGAGCACCACCGCCTCGTTCTGAAGTTCCAACGCACGCCGCACGGCCCCACGCAGCTCGTTGATCTCGTCATCCATGGCGTGATACCGTTGCTCAAGCCCGACATTCCGAGATTGCTGCTCCTGGAGAGCCTGGTGGGCGGTCAGGAGCTGCTGCCCAAACTGCTCTTTCTCTTCTAGAAGTTGTGCGCCTTGTAGAGCACACTTTTCCTCCAGCTCCGTTACCTGCTTTGTGAGCTCGCGTACTCGTTTGCCATCGGCGACGACGTCAATGCGCTGGAGGAGATCGTTTATCTGCGTCTTTAGCTGTTCAACTTCTTGGTCATGCTCGAGCAGCATCTCGGAGATCGAACGACGAGCATTTTCTAAACGGCCCTTCATGTGCTCAAGTGATACCGTGGCAGCCATGTATCGATCCTTGTACCCTGACGCTACCACCAGCTCTCCTTTTAGCTCATGGATTTGCTCATGAAGTTTTTCTATTTCCTTGGTACTAGTATCAAGCTTCGCCTTCAGGTTTTTGCACCGCTCCTGCTCGTCGCGCAATTCCTGCGTCACCGCATTGTGTTTGCCATTCAGAGCTGAAAAGTTTGTCTGAAAGTCAGTGCAGATTTGAAGTAGTTCGGTGTATGAGGCCATAGATCTATTTCTTCTTTTTGCTTTGTGTCTTAAAAGTATCAGCGCTCAGCGCTATTTTTGAATCTTTACACTTTCCAAAGTCTAAATACTCTAATGAAAAGAACAACTAAGTAAAAAGCGACACTTCTCCAGTTGAGGGAAACAAGGGAATAATTTGCAAGAGTTTCTTTGTAAAATACCCCTTTCTGTCATTTCATTTCCTCATTGATCCAGAAGCCATGTTGATTGTGGGGGAGCAAATCATCATAACATTTTCAGATCTCTAGCGGCAGCTCACTCTCCATTGAAAAGAGGACACTCGTATTGAAATAATAGATCCCCACCACACCTGAGAACCTGACCTCAAGACATGAGTGTGGCTACTCGAGCACCAATAGATGCTCCAAGGATGGAGCTGCTTGCCATCGTCGGCTGAGGCACCACGCTGGCGTCCGCTACCCACAGCCCCTCAACCCCTAAAACTTTCATTTTGGAATCCACCACACGATGCAGCGCACAGGTACCGAAGAGATCGTCGCATCCGTTGGAGAATCGCGCCAGAAACGCGGCGACCTTTTTCTGCGTGTTCATATCCTGCGAGGGGTGATCAAGTTGCACATCCAACGCGGTAAACGGGCTGACGTGGTTGTCATGGTTATTGGTGTGATACACGGAGCGGAGGTTGGAATCCTTCGAAACGAGCAACCCTACCCATTGAATGCCCTCGTCCATACACAAGACGTCATGCTTCTCGCGGAGCATCCCGCTGCGGATCTGGATCTGGCCGGTCGTGGGGTTGAGGCTCACCTCACCCCTGCTCTGGGGGTAGTGATGGGTCACACGGAGGGTGAACCCTTCGCGTGGATAGGAGCGCGACCAGTCCTGCCAGCCGAGTTGGGGTGTGCGAAACAACGCGATCGAGAGATCGGCGGCGGCTTGTTGGGTGGATTGCGACCGCACATACGCGACCGCTTCGGCAAAGGACGCGAAAATCCCCGTGCGATCCTCGTTATATTCCTTCCACTGCCCCCATAGGTAGGGTAGGTTGTTCCAACTCAAGGATTTGCTCCGCACGTTTCGCCCACCCCGGATGCGGAAGATCAGATCCGCGGTGCATCCTTGAATGAGGTTCTGCCCGACGTCGGGCAGGTCGAGAACGGCGCCTTGAGGGCCGATCCCACTCCGAAGCAGCAGCGCCGGGGAGCCAATGGTGCCTAAACAGACGACCATCCGTTTGGATTCGATTTTCTCCCGAGTCCCACCCCGCAGGACCTCAACTCCGGTGACCTCGCGGGGGTGGGGTTCGCCAAAGGTGATTCGCTCGACCTGCGCATCCACCAACACCCGAAGCCGCGGCGTGAGATGGCGATGTTTTTCGATCCCGGCATCGAACCAATCCACGCGCGCGCCGTGGTCGATGAGGGATTGGTAGCCCGTGAAGCCATCCGCGAGGCCGCGATTGAGGTCCTCGCTCGGGCGAAGACCCGCCGCCTCGCAGGCTTCAAAAAACCGCACATTCAGCTCCGAATCCAAATTACTTCGCGCGACGTCGGACACCACGAGAGGGCCATCCTCCCCATGCATCGGCGCACGCAAACGGGTGTTGCGTTCGAGTGAGGTGAAGAATGGGAGCATCGTTTCAAACGTCCACGCGTCATCGCCCCAGGCCGCGAAGTCGTCCGTGGTGCCTCTTCTATACGTCATATCGTTACAAAGGGTGGAGCCGCCTAAACCACGACCTCGATAATACGTTAAAGACCGCCCTCCTAAATTTTCTTCGGGGATCCCGTTATAACGGTGTAGAAAGCCCATTGAAGCTCGCGAACGCGTGATAAAGGGCTGAAGGAAGGGAATTCGCATCACGGATGGGGGATATCGCCTGCTGCCAACCTCCAGCAACGCGATGGAGGCATCAGGGTACTTGGCGGCAAGCCCACGAGCGACTGTACAACCAGCCGCCCCAGCGCCTAACACTAAAAAGTCGAACACATTACCCTTCATAATGACTAAGACGGAAAAAATTGCACTATGCGCACATACCACACATAATAAATAGTGGTGGTAGCGGTATGTGGACGTTGGGGTTCAGAAAGTAAGCAAAAAAGGTCGTTTGATAATCATGAGTCAACGTAAAAATCCCCCCTCCGTCTCATTGCGTTTTGCATGACCATAAAAAATAAGACGTTTCACACGGGAAAGCTAGAGAACATTCCAACACAGCAAAACGAGCTAAATCTTCACTAAATCAAAAAAAAACATTCACCTATTTATACGCATCAGACGATATAGCAAATGTACCCCTTTTCAATCGGTACTTCGAGAGCAGAATTAGGTCCTACACACGACTCCTCGTCGAGGGTATGCATGATCCATTGAACCACCATTGAGAAATCAAAAAGGAAACAAACAGTCAACGCCAGCCAACTTGTTGAAGTTTCGAAGCCATCCAGCTTCCTGCCATTAGCCCTGGTGGACGATCCTAAAATATCAAGCACAGGTCCATGCACATTGGAGATTTCGCAGAATCTAACATGCCCCACAATAGCCAATTGCTCCGCAATGCATAGAATACCACACGAACCTTCCCTCCCTCTCCTCACTTTTTTTTTTTCCCCCTCACAGCACAATCCTCTGAAGGCGAGCAACGAAATCTAGACAAGCCTGGAGCTGTGGGATACCCTGAATCACGACGCCCAAGACCTCTTCGTGGTGAAGGCTAACATGCACGATTCCGGAATCAATAGCCACCCAGTGATCGGCATCGACGCCGTACGTTTTCGTCATCCTCGTGGCCCGCATCAGCCGCGTCAATCGACGGGCGGTATCCGGAAGGAGGTCGCGAATCGCATTCCCGTAAAGCCCCCCGTCGGGATCCCACCGTAGCCATCCGATGGAGCTTCGTGGATGAAGGGCGCGGAGCTCCGCGTGGAGTTCCGCTACCGCCCGGCAAACCGCCTCTCCGGTGAAGTGGGAAAGCGCCGCCATCTCCAGCGGGGAAATGAGATGCTCGAGGACCCCACAGGTCGCCACCACGGGGCTCCGCAACGGTCCTTTTCCAAAAGGCGCCATCAACGCCCGCACCTCTTTTGCCATCGCCGCGGCCCCCTCCACCAGGATCTCGCGAGGGGAAGGGCGAGGATGGAGCAGGAGCACCAAAATCGGCGGCTCCACACGCACCACCACCTCCATCCCTTCTTCTTCTTCTTCGTTTTCGTTGACTTCCCGATCCTCGAATGGGAGATGAACGCCGAACGGGGGATCCTCCGGCGCCTTGAGCCCGTGCAGAAGCCAGTTCAGCTTGATCACCGATAAGAGGGAGTCCGGGAGGGAGCTGGCGAGCAGTCGTAGGGTGTTGAGCTCGAAGAAGGCGTAGTGAGCGCCCGCGGAGAGGCTACTCGTGGGATCCTCTCTTTCTTCTTCTTCTTCTTCGTCCTCCCCCGCGAGGTTCGCGGGATCCAGCCATGGAAGTGCGGTGGACTTTCGAAGGACGTGGGGAGTAAAGGGCGTCGCCGCCGCCGCGGCGGCGCTCGCGCGCGATAACAAACGTTCCGCGATGCTCTGCATATTCAGGAAGACCGATGTGGGGCTTTTAAAGCGCTGAACTGGATAGCCAAGCAGGGCGTCGTAGGCTAACATCTCAGCCCACGCCGGGGAAGGGTGGTGAACGGGCGGCGACGTAGACGTCGATCCCTCGTTCGTCGTATTCGGCCAAATCAAAGGTAGGATGTGTGTATCCAAAAGCCGCGAAAGATTGCGATAAAACCCACCAATCGCTTCCACGGCCTCTTTCAGTCGATCTGAGTGCGGCTGGACTAACGCCATGGTGAGCGCATGCCCGTTAAGGAATTCAAAAACCTGAAAACTACGCTGGAGTAACATGAGCAGCACATCCCCATCCTGCAAGTCCTTCGCCTCCAACACCAGCCAGAGGTTCTCCACGGGCGAATACATGCGCAAAATCCCACACTCCGTTCGGATTTCATGATTTGTACAACCGCCAGCGCCGAACTTCTCACCCAGATATGTGACGGCAAGACAAAAGCCAACGTGATTCAGCTTTAAAGCAGGAGCCGTGTCTTCTGGAAAGTGATAGATTATATTATCGATCGCCCGCTCATCGTCATCTTCGCTCAATGCTGGCGAAAAAATTGAAAGAGATGCAAGGAACGGAGGCATATATGAATTCACGAGCCACAACGTCCAAACACATTCCCAATCGTATTGAACGGACTAAATTTGAAGACTGGGGAAGACTAGACCCAAGAATCCCCTTACCTTGTGTTTGTGTGAATTAGAGGCTTTTATGCCTTTCTTAGGCCGCAGAGAATGCGATGGAAGATAGACAGAAGGCTCAAATTATATATATATATAAATATCTATATAGATTTCTAGCATTCTCGTGCTGTATCGTCAGAAAGCAAAAGTTCATGTAACAATTCGAAACCCCTCATTATACACCCCTTTCCTTTGCATGGGGTTGATGTAAACAGACCCATACGGCAACGAATTCCTTCTTCCCCATCTTCAGAGCAAATTGTGAAGGGCCTGAATCCAACCTCATTCCCCTCCGTTTTTTTTCGTGATAGACCCGACATCAAACTCCTTCCACACGTCCATCCAGCCCTCGACGGTGCGAGGGCCTCCTTTTTCCAGGGCTTCCGACTTCCCAGCCTTGAGCATCCTTTCCACCCCTTCTCGCAATTCCCTCCGTGCGGCGGGGTGGCTTTCCGAGGAGCTCGAGGCGTGAAGCAGGTAGACCTCTTCGGGGATTTGCGCTGTCATCGGGGGTGGGGGTGGGGGTAGGCGCGATGCGCATAGCTCGACAATAGCGCGAAAAGCCAACGGCTCGTATTGCGCTAATATCTGCTGCGTACGAGGCAATAACAAGAGGTTCTGCCGGGCAAGATCATTCCGAAGGTACATCCAGCTCGAACCATGCTCCTGTGCAGCACTATCAACATTTTTACGCACTATAGCCCGTTCCCAGAAAGCCTTCTGCTCAACCCGATAGCGAGTCTGCGTGCGCATCAGGAAGAAGAGTCGCTTCAAGCCAATCTTGCGCTCAAGGCGGGCTCGCCCGCGCAGAAGGCCTCGTATGCGGTCAAGTTCTATTTTAGCCCTAAAGTGCTGCAGCACAGACGTTTGACGTAACATGATGGCTAAAGTAATACCACGATCACGAAGCGGAATGTACGTTCCCTAATTTATTTTCTATTATGGTATACTGAGAACTCCTTGAAGTTAATCTTCTCAAGAGCCAAACCCAACTGCATTGGTTGATGAGGGAAGAGATGACGTATATGCAAAACTACTGTTCATAAAATAAAATAAGTTCGTATAAGGAAAACTGCCTCATTTTTTCCTCCGCAGTTACACTGTAGAAAAGAATTTTAGTATATTTTAAGCTGAAATAACAAGAAAACACAGAATCTTCGAATTCTGATATGCGTACAGCCTCTTCACTTTTATTCCTCCTGATCCTGGATGTTGAAGTACTTCAACTGGTAGCTGTTCTTGCCGTTCGACAGAATGCGGAGCCAATCGCGGAGTTCCTTCTTCTTGAGGAACTTCTTCGCGAGGTACTTGAAGTACTTCTTGCGGTACGCCATGGTGGTGACCACGCTGAGCGTGTTATCGCGCACGGCGATGCGGACCTTCTCACCGAGCTTTCCCTTACGGCCGTTCAGCTTGGTGTTGTCGTGGAAGAACTGCTCAAAACTGCGCAGGATATCCTCGCTGAAGATGCCATCCGTCACCGGCACGCTGCAGTCAATCTTGAAGACCTTCTTCCCCTTCGGCAGCGTCTTCTGGCGGATGAAGCTACGGGAGCCGACCTTAGCGCGTACGGCGACCATCCTTCCTGAGTAATACTTAGGAGTGTGTGTGTGTGTGGGTGGTTATGAAGTGCAAGCACGCTTCGAAAGCATTAATCACAAGTAAAAAAAAAGTCAAATGGGAAGGTAGAACAAGAGGGGGAAGGACATTGGTAAAGGTGAGCAACATAGAAGAAATAGAAAATTCCACCGCATGGGTAGCATCTTAAGCACCGATAGAGTAGAACTCCATGTTGTATAGACTCGTTTTCACCCGCTCTTGCACACCTTGTCATTCAAATTTTCAACATATCATAGGGGCACTGGGAATTCCAACCCACCAACAAAACCACTTCCCTTCTCCCCGCCTCGGCCCTCTTAATTTCTAACCCTAAACGCATAGCTCAAACGTTAGGCCGAAGGAGGGAAAATGGGTGATGACCTAGTTACAGGACCTGGTGCTATATTCTATCCTAGCTTCCGTTGCGTTGGGGGACTAGGGCAACTCATTGGTAGGATCAACCAACTCCTCGTTTGGTTTTTCCCTTACCGGGTCCAGGGTATCGCTATCCAGGAATTCACTCTCGACGTCTTCGGCGTCGTCGGGGTTGCTGTTCCCAAGGGCCTCATTTGGGGTGCCGCCCGCGATGAGAGTACTCAAAAACTGCTCCAGCTCACGATCCTCATTGCTTTTGGCGGAGGTCTTTTTACGACCAAGCGTGAGCCCCGACGGATTCGGGTGATGCCCTGGGGTAATGAACCAACGGTAGTATTCATCGTCGTAGATCTTCTCCTCCTGTGTTGCGATCTCGACGCGGTACTGCAACTTCCCTTCCAGGGCCTTTTCGCGGAGTTTGGAGGCCCACGGCTCGACGCCGCGTTTCGCACGTTCCAACTCGCCATAAAGCCGCTTTTCGAGCAGCCTCGCGCCCCGCTCTTCGACCTCGCTGTGGGTGGATTCGATCGCGTCTTTCGACGGCCAGTAGGAATACGCACCGCTGCCTTCTTCGTCGTACACCGCCCGCTCCGCTTCCTTGTATTGCGCCTCGAAGTACTCCTTCGAGCCCTCGGTGAAGCCGTTTCGACGCCACGAGGAGGGCGTATCCTCCCACGGATGACGCGCCATCTCGTAGAAGTTCACATTATTCGGCACGTGTGCATTCCCCTTCAACGGCGCCACCTTCGGCGTCCCTTCCTTGTCGAGCTCGCCAAGCTCGTGGACGAGCTCCAACCCCCCTGCATCCTCGATCATGCCGTCGAGGAACTTCGACTTCCCGCAGTGCGTGCGCGCGCAGAGCGAAACGACCCCGTCGTGCGCGAAATGAAGCGGCTCCCGCAGCCGCTCGATCGCGTCTTTGGATACCTCCTGCAGCGTCGGCGGCGACCACCGTGGTCGTAGCCGAAAGAAATGCCCATCGAGCTCGACCTCCCGCTCAAACACCGCCTCAAAATCGGGAAGGGGGCGCATGGGGAGGTGGGATTGGTGGATTTGGCGTTCCCGCGCTTCCTTGATCGCCCCCCAGGCCTCGGCCGACTTGAGGGTGTGTTGGCCGACGTCGAAGAAGTCCGGGCGTTGCATGCAGCGCACGAAATATTTATACTCCATCCCTAACGCCTCCTCCAGGAGACAAGGCTGTTGCGACGTCGTGGCGTCCCGTCGAACCTCCTTGAGGAGCTCAAAGCTCGCCTTCAGGGCGAAAGGCGACTGAAGGAGCATCTGATGCTTCACCGCGTAGGCCCACTCGGAGAAATAAAGATTCACCCGTTTCACGATGAAATACACCGGGGGGTACTGGAGGTTCTCCGCGATATCCTCCAGACCGGTGTCGTTGTGGAGGACGACCTGGAGCTCCGCATCGGAGCGGACGTGGGCGGTATCAAGGGTGGGGAGATACCACCCCAACTCAATCGCACGAGTCGAGGGCATCTTCAGGGCGTTCAGGACGGCCTGTTTGAGCTGATTTAAGGTAATGGCGCGCAATTCATCCGCGTCGGCGGCCTTCCCGGCGTTCGCTTGGAAATCGAAGTCAAAATCAAAACTTACCAAGGTGTTCTCGCACCCCTCCAGGCGCGCGTAGACGTGCCGAAGATAACAGCTCGATTGGAGCTCACGGTACCTCAGATACTCCTCTTCCCGTTGTCGCTTCCAGCGCTGGAGTTTTTCGCGATCCCGATGCACCACCACCTCGCGGCTTCCACGACTTTCGAGGACGTAGGAGAGGAAGATATCCCCTGCCTGTCGAGCCGCCGCCTCCTCCTCCGGCGGCGTGATCGTCCACGGTGAGAGCGTATAACGTAGCTGCGAGGATTCCAACTTTTTCACCCCATCCGCCACGCTGGCGAGCGTGTACGGTGTGGTGAAGCAGCCATCCATGGTGTTATGCGGACTCCCCAGCTCGAGTTTTTCGATCCCACCAAGCGACGTGAGGATCCCCTCGACGGATGGTTGATCCGCAAAGGCGTCTTCAATCCATCGCGCGCGGGTGGGCGAGATCGCCGATCGCTCCATCGCCGAGCTGTGCGCATCCTTCATCTTAAAACAGCTCTCCAAGAGGTGTCCGAGTTGCCAGGCCACCGCGTCGTTATGCAGATGCTCGGAGTTATCAAACCACTCTTTGATATGAAACGTCATATCCGGCAAAGAGGTGAAGAGATCGGTCCACCCTAACCGAAGCACATCGCCCGCGAAAAGAGAGGTGCCCGTGAGCAGCACGAACTCCGCGAGCCCGGGAAACTTCAACGAGGTTTCTTGACGAGCCAAAAGGTGCGTGATCCCGCCATACGGCGTGAGGCCGATGTGGGGGCCGTCAAAAATAAACTCCGTCGCGTCGCGTAACGCACAGAACTTCGCCGCGAGCGCGAGCCCACAGCCGGTGCCGCGGCATTTTCCATTCACCAACGTCATAAACGGTCGAGGGGCGGTGTAGGCTCGCCAGATCAGCGCGGCGTGTTCGCGTAGCGCTTCATCGGCGCGATCCTGATGACGGTTGGCATCCTGCAACAGCCGTTCCCGCTCCGCGGCGTTTTTGCTGTCGCCCTGGCTTTTCAAACTTTCCGCACGCCTTCGCAGTAACACGGCCATGTTCACATCAAAACCAACCTCCTCGAGATCTAGACCACCACAGAAAAAATCGGTAAGCCCCGACTGCGCCGCGGTGAGGACCGTTAGCTTGCTATACACCGCGTTGGTGGTCTGATCAATCACCAGGTTGAGGTGCTTTGCCAGCTTGGTCGATAGGCATTGATGACGACGCGGTTCGTTGATAAAAATAGTCTTCGAGAAGCGGCCGTCGTTCGCAGTGAGGGTGTTGTATTTGTTTAGCGGGTACGACATCGCCTGCATCATCTTCCGATCGAATTCCCCTAAAAAAGGTGCATTTATCCCTGGCACCTTGCCGTGCGTGGGGCCTTGCGTGTTCATGTGGAAGTAGGATACCTCCTGCGTATCGGTTTGGGTGACGAGGGGCCCTAAAAGACTCTTAGAATCCAACGCGTGGAGTTTAATATCCCCTTCACCCGGTCGACGCTTGGAAAACATCTTATTCCAGTGCTCCGGGTGGGAAAAGACTTTTTTATTGGGATCAAAGCTGGTGGTGAGGTCCGGATGACGGCCCATCGTGGGATCCTGCTCTCGGAACCACTCGGTGGTCTCGCTATCGACGAGTGTGGGGTGCAGATCGTCATGAAAATCAAACGCAACGCGTTGATGTCGGTGTGGCAGCCGAGCCTGCCCTTGTTCCTTACCCCAATTCATATAGTCGATGTAGTCCTTTTTCACGCGAAACCGTTGGTGGGTGTTGTAATGTGTGAGAAATTGGATGCCGGATTGCCGATTTGGGTGGTTGGTGTAGCGTTGGTAGAAGCGAAACTCAATCGGAGTGCCGAGGGGACGGTACTCACGCACGTCGAGGGTTTTTAGATGGCGACGCAATTCGAACAGGGCGAGGGCTAAGGAATCATTTTGTTTTGTCGCACTGCGGCACGCACTGGATCTCCACCAGGGGGTTCTACGGCGCATCATTGTGGGATACGCGCGCGGACAGACACGGCAGTACTTCACCTTACTTCCTACTTTGATAAGACCAACATGAAAAGAGAAGATACAGGGGAAGCCTCTAATGTGTGTGGTGGTTTCAAGAAGTTCAACTTACGCCGTGTTTATGTGGGAACCCACCATAGGCAATCTCGGCATCTCCTTTTTCGTTCCGAATTGCATTTCCGGAAGTCACTTTGCGAATTTTTACCCCTTTTCGTTTTTTTATTTTTGCTTGATTGTTCGCTGGCATAAAAAGAAAAATGCAGCAATTGGTAAGAACCCCTCTTTTCGAGGTATTCATCCATACATCATGTTAATAAGGTAGATATCCATGGAAAATAGAACGAAGCGGATGACTTTCGTTGAGTGTATGCGGAGTCCGGTAAGAGGTAGATCGCCTCGCCGGGCAACCCGACCAGACACCCCCTCCGGTGATTTTACACAAACCCTCCGCCAAATCCTCTTCCAAACCCGCCTCCTCTTCCTCCCCTTCCCATATTCGTCGTCGGATCCCGCGAAGGGCCGCCACGGGGGCCGAATTGCCCTCCACCAGGGCCGCCAAAAGGGTCGTCGGCTCCCCCTTGCAGAGGGAGGAGGAGGTCGGGATCGGGCTCGCCTGGGAACGTCCGTGGAGGGCGCGGAATCAACGGCGGTGGGGAGTCGCCGGGGAAGATCGGATCAAACCGAAACCCCCCTTCCGACGAGGATGATGGGGGATGGAAGGCGGCCTCGCCGAGGAACATTCCACCCCTTTCGGAAGCGCCGTTCCCACCAGGGCGGAGGTCGTTATCGCCGTAGCGGCTTCCCACGGGCCTCGGGGCGAGGCCTTTGAAGGAAACGGGCGGATTGGGGGCTGAAAAAGGGAGGTTGGGGGCTCCAGGGGGGGGAGGAGGGCCGTGCATTTGATGGAATCCTCCACAATCGTATTACGGTGTGTGTGAGAGAGAGAGAGAGGGATTGGTTGGGTGGTTGGTGGGCTTAGGTTAAGTCGGGTGCCTCCGTGGGGATAGGAGGGGAGAAAAAAACGAGCAGAAAAGAGGCAAATTCCCTTTCTCCCTTTTCTCCTCCTCTTCCTCTGGGTACCAAAGGGGGAGAAAATAAACTTAAGGAGATAGAGACGAGGCGCTGAGGAGCTACGCTGATTTTGAAGCTTAAATGGAGGGTAATGTAAGGGGGAAGATCATACCAATAGCAAGTAGGGAGAATCCGACCAGATCTTGCTGTTTCCGCAGGATTGTTAGACAAAATGGAGTTTGGAGACAGAAATAAGACTATACACTATTTTTTCCTTCTGAAAGGTACGGTTATTGGGTATCATATAAGTATATTTACATTCATCACATACACAAACGAAAGAGCAGCGCCAACAATAGGCTGTTGAAAACATAAATATTGAACCCATATAAGGATGGTCTTAACCTTCCCGAGTTTCTAAAGGGTAGTGGAGTATGATATTGTATGCATTTCATTCCATTGAGGGTTGAAGGAAACCAACGGGCATAGGCATTTCACTCTACCTTAAACTTTCGTTGTAAGTTTTCGCGCTCTTTGCTCAGCACCTCTTTGATCTTGCGGTTCTCTTCCAAGACTTCTTCCCGTTGCTTCTCCACCTGTTCCGCAATTCTTTCCTTTTCCATAAGATCTAAGATGGTATGTAGTCTACAGAACGCCTTAACCCGCTGCTTCTGAAGCACTGCGAAGGACCTTACCGCTTCGATCTCCCGCTCTTGTTCACGATGAACGGCGCGTTTGAAGAGGCCTTCTCGTTGTATGTTCATATACGCCTTGTCGCGTTCTTGAACCTTTTCCATGATGCGTGAGCGAAGGCTTTCATGAAGCTCCACTGCCTTAGCGGATGCCTGGAGTCGCCGTTTCCGACGTTCTTCTTCCTCCGTGGCGCGGGCGGCGCGCTCCTCCTCGCATTTTTTGCGAAATTCCTGCAAATGCGCTTCGGCTTTTTGCTGTCGTAGTATCGCGGCCTCGAGCGTCGCCGCCTGCCTTTCGGCGATACGGCGTAGCATCGCCTCCCGCTCTCTCGCGGCTTTCATCTGCAACACCCGCTGCTCCTCGCGCTCCTTGGCAAGTCGTTCCAGCTGCAGAAATTTCATAAAATCGATCTTGGCTTCTTTCTCGACCCGCCTTCGCTCCACCTCCTCTTCCATCCGGAGCTGCATTTCGGCGTTCCGCTCGAAGCGTTGGGAGTGTCTGGCGCTGAGGGCCACCTGCTTCAGGCGCTGCTGGGTGTACAACCGCTCCTTTGCTTCTTGGCGCTCTCGATTTCGCTGCGCCGCCTTCGCGAGCTTTTCCTCAATCATCCGTTGAAAGACCTCCTCCATTTGTCGCTTTTTAAGCTGTTGGGCCTCCAGGCGCTCCCGCTGCTTTTCCCGTGCTTGGGCTTCTTTCAGTGCTTTCTCCGCCATCGCCGCGCGGGCCTCCGCTTGAACCTGAAGCCGATGCCGCTCGCTGGCTTTCTTTTGCTCGCTCAGAAGATTAGTCATCGAGAGGTTCTTCTCCATGCGTGCTTTATTCGTGGCGAACACCTTCTGCAACCGCTCCCGTCGCTGCTCGAAGGAGATTGAGAGGGGTCTGGTTTCTTGCAGGTTTGGTGGGATCTGAAAGGCCTCCACAATCGCGTTTAACGATACCTGCCCACACAGCTGGTGATAATCCTCGAGGAGGAAGGCGAAGAGCTGGGTGCGGCGTTTCTTATCCCATTCCAACCGATACGAATGCATCATCTCCAGGAGCGCGTTGGGGTTCGTTTGATCTATCCGCGCGGAGGAGGCAAGGCATAAAAGCTCACTATCTCTTTGGATCATCTCCTCCGACGCGATCTTCGCCGGCTGCAGGTCGTTAACCGCGACCCCATTTCGAAGCAGCACGAGCACGGAGCGAGGGGAGTTGAGGATGGGTAACGCGGCCCCGTCCTTGATGTTATCCAGGCAAAGGGGCCGCAAATCCTGAATCGATTTGAGGTTGATCGGCGGTTGGCGGTTCTTCTTCAACCAGGTTAGGTCCATGTGATCCATCGAGACGCCAACGGACTCGGAGTACTTATCCTGCGGACAAAGAAGAATCCGCAGCAGCTCTGCACAGACGTTGGCATCCATTTCGGAAGGTTTTGGATCGTTCGCGTCGGGTTTGAGGTCGATTTTACGATACGTTTGGGTGGGGGAGATCTTGTTGAGCTCATCCTTAAGCCAGTTCTCCAACTCTTTGCCCATCCCCGGAGGGGCTTGAGTACGAGGTGGCGAGCTCTCTTCTTGAGCACTCGCGCGCGGCAACCGCTTACGTTCGGGGCTCCGCTTGCGTTCAGGGTTCCACTGGGGGGTTTCCTTGAGCGTCTCCGTCTCGTTCGAGTCCACCCCTCGTTCCCGACTGTTGCATCGACTCACTGTAGAGGGGGTTCGGATGGGGTTAACGTATCGCTTTGCCAGAACGATTTTCGGAAGTGAAGCGGCCTCGGCTGTGATCGGGGGGGAGCCTTCCCCGTCTTTGGAGGGTTTTGCCGCACAACTTTCGCCGTCTGCGGCGACAGGGGTCGTTTTGGCGGCCGAAGCGTCCTCCTCGTTGGCGTTCGACTCGCCATTTTGGCTTTCACTAACACGGAATTCATCCACCACCACGAGTGGTTGGGGTTTTTTCCTTTGGGCGCGCGGAACAAACGGGCGAAATTGGTTCCGACGCTTCCGCGCCTCATTCCGGAGCTTTAGATAGCGCTCGAACTCTTTTTCAGCCGCGGTTGGTTCGTTGATGCGAGGAACTGAGCGATCAAACTCACCCACGACATCCTTAAGACCCATGGTGATGGAGGTCTCCGGGGGGCCAAGGTGGTGGCGACGTAACTCCTGTTCGTATTTCTCATACTCGGTCATGTAGCGCACCTTGCTCTTGTCATCCGTCATGCGTGGGATGTTTGGGAGCGAGATCGTATTCACAAAGGGGATGCTGGAGGAGGAACTCATGAAGCCCCGTGAGCTTAGCACGTTCTCACGAGTTCGCGACATGGATAGATCACGCTGTTCACCGCGTATTTACTTGACTGATATGAATTTCAATGAATAAGATGTCTTAGGGTAGATGTACACACACACACACCCATTATAAAAAAATAGGTTTTTTTCTTGATATTCCTATTAATACAGAAACAGGGTAAGCAAAGCATTGAAACCGTGATGCATGTGAGCATATTTTACATTATACTAATGCATATCCATGAATTGAGCAACAACACTAGGAAACAAGGCAATGGTTTTCCTAGCTTCTCTTTTGCTTGCATCTAACCTATGTACTTCATTTTTTTTTCTCTCCATGAGGTATATAGTGTACATCGAAGTAAAAAGTCATAGATGGAAAAAAAAAGCACATGAAGAATATGCCATCAAAGCTGCTCATAGCGACACCTCAACGGTGAAGGGTAGCTTTCTCTCATTCGCTCGATCTCGCTTCCTTAGCAGGCGTAGTGATGCACCGTACTAGACCCACCTTCGAAGTAATTCGCTTTAGACAGACAAAGAGACGGGTAGGAAGGGGAGCATGCCCACACGGAGCCCCCTAACCACGCCGCCTGGGCCCTCTCGCGAAAGGCGATAATCTTCACCACCGACGACGCTCCTCGCTGCGCGAGTTCTCGTTGAAGTCGGATATCAACATCCCGCAACATCGTCGTTCCTCCTCCCAAGACGATGTTGCTTCGCAGTTCCTCCTGATAAACGCCAGGGGCGGCCGCGATGACCTCCTCGATGACATCTGCCCACCCGGTGAAGGGCGTCGCGCAGGCGGGGTTGGTAACGGAGTACCCTGTGGGATCCCCATAACGGTTCATCCCAACCTCTTCCTCAGAAGGCATCTGGCGGACTAATTTGGCGTCAAAAAGCTTCTCCCCAAGCGAAACCTCATGCTCAAAGAGGAAGATATGCTCATTGTCAGGGAGCGTGAAACGAACCGTGGCGTCGACGTGTTTGTTTACCCCTTGCCGATCCTCCGTGGGGTTTCTCGACACGCGACAAAGGGTTTCCTTCACGGTCTCTACAATCGCCCAGTCTTTTTCCGTCGAAAGGGGGTACCCTTTTTGCCGTAGACCGTTAAACAACTCCCGCGTGAGGACGTCGCCGGCGATGGGGGAAAACCGCTGCGTGTGCGAGAGGGGGTAGCTATCACACACCGCACTGATTAAGGTCTTTCCCGCGCCACTATCGACGGCGATTCCTGTTGTTCGGCCTGTGCTGTACACCGTCGCCGTGGAGGCATTCAGCATCCCGAGAAGGGGGATGTTGAAGGTCTCAAACAAAACTTCCGCGACGCGCTCGCGATCCTTGTGGGATTGCGTCGTGGGCTGGATAAGAAGTAGCGGGGTCGCATCGGGGACCACCTCTAGACTCCGATACAATGTGTGATAGAGCAAATACTCGTAGCTCTCGAAATCCATGATATGCCCATATCGCACGGGCCACCGGAGATTAAGCAGCCCGCGATCGGAAAAGGCTTCATTTCCAGCTACGTAGTCCGCTGTGTGAGGGTCGAAAAACTTCATACAAGCCCCCGGATGACGAGGCGTTCCGACGCAGCTTCGAAGGACTTGCCGCGCCGCGATTTCTCCAGAAAAGCCGGCCTTGGTATACAGAGAGCCGACATCTAGGATGACGCTCCGCATATTATTTATCTCCATTGCACAGCGAGTGTGGAGTTCATATACAAAATCGACAAACAAGCTATGGTAAATATTGGATACGACGCGAAATAACTTTGCATTCACGTCTGCGTTATTCTTCAAAAGAAATCGCTAGAAATACATATTTTCAGATGGATGATATAAAAAAGGAAAGATATAGATTATGCATTGGCTTCATATTTTCAGACTTCATCTCTGTATGCCCCTTACCGCTTATAAACGAAAGCCACCCAGAATATTGAAATGATGCAAAGAGACGAAATGACCAAGCATGCAATATGATACGAAGTGACTACTATGTTATATATCTACTATACCTATTTTACACCTTTTTTTGCACTAATACCAAAAGTACAATCTGAATCCCTTAGACTTTTTCTCTATTTTAATACCTTCTTCGCATGTATTAGCTGTAAACGCGGACACGTCTAACATCAAGTTCCCTAGTCATCATACTTCCACAACGCTTTACTTTCCTCCATAACCCCTGGCAACATTACATTACGCATTCTCAGGGGCGTATTTTCCACTAAAGCTGGTATAACCAGGAGGTGCCGTGTACACAGGGGGGCGCAGAGCCTTGCTACGGGAGTTTTCTGCCATCTCCGAATGCATCTCAAAAATTTTTCCCATCTCGTCGTTTCGTGCATACATCTCATGCTCATTCATTGCATTCAACATCCAACTCTGCTTATGAGTATTCGTGGTAAAACACTGGTGCCTTAGGAGCAGAAAGAAAGTGAAGAGACAACCAATCATCAGTATCAAAGAGAAGTACATTTGATCTGGAAGAGCGAGCAAGATAAACGTGCGAGACTCCGAAGGCGAGCGCTGAGCTGTGGTCATGCAGGAAACACGAGCGTGGGAATTTTGATTGTTGTTGCGATAAAGTGCACCTTTTTCAGATGGACGCACGCCAGGCGAAAAGGCGTGGAGGTATGGCTTTATGCGTGCAGGTATGGTCCGACGAAGCATCTGCAACTCACAGTTTACTAGTTATTTACCCACAATTATGTTTGCTGTAGCTGCTTCTGATCAGGAAACACCAGGATCCGGCAACCTGGTAATGCTTTGTATGATGTATGTTTGATTAAAAAATCCGATACAGCGGGGTCAAACGCTCCAGAGCGTGTAGACCAGTTCCTTTTTTGTTTATTCCTTTGAACGTAATATGCTACTGTCAGAAAACTTGTTTTAGTAAAATTTTTCCATAACTTGATGCAACAGGGAAATCAACCAATCAAAATCGAAAAAGATTTACTTTAGTTAACAAATACTGTTGAAAAACCGTGGCAGTTCTATAGCAAGAAGTCAAAGACATGAACATTTACTTTCGTTTATTTCTCTTGGATATTTCTAATGAATACACATGAATAACAAGGGAAGGCGAGGAAGGGGCTCTCTTTTAGTTGATACATCAATGAAAATTCAAAAGAGAAATGCCTCCTCCCAAGTACATATATATATA